CTTTCTTTTAGCTCTTTCCAACTTTATTTATTTCTAAACCATTATGTGAAAATTCCCTCTTATTTTAAGTTTTATTTGCCTACATTTTATTTGCACATAAATTCACAATAATAGTCTGGCCGGGAACCACACTAGTGGATTCTGAGGGTTGCCTAACACCTTCCCTTTAGAATAATTTCAAGCCCTTACCCAATCTCTGGTTACTCAAATCAAATCTCCTTGGTGTCCTAGTGCACCCTAATCATTAGGTGGCGACTCTTTAAATCAAATCCAATTCCTAAAAGGAATGAGTTGTCCTCCCAAATGTCATAAACCTGATTTCGCGAGAAAAAGGGAGCGCTACAGAAACTTATATATAATCCATATACAATATGAGTATAATCGTGTGTTGTCGGTATATCACCTATTTATATTAGCTATAAAAAGTAAACAATAAATATGACAGGATATTATGTAAATATTCCATAAGATTTCGGTTTTGTGAGTTTATCCATGATATAACTTCTATACCCGATCTCCATATCCTGCTATCAAAGGTCATGTCCTCGATAAGTTAAAAATGTGGCATGTCATGCCTAATCACCTCACCTCAATATTTCTTTAGCTTACCTTCATTTCTCCTTGGCCCCACCATAGCCAACCTCTCATACCTCCCCACTAGGACAACGGTATATCTCCTCTTCATAAGTCTGAACCATCTCAAACCCGCTTTTTGTATCTTGTCCACTACAAAGACTACTCCTACCTTGTCTAGAATATCCTCATTCTTAATCATATCTCTCCTGGTATGCCCACATATTCACTTCAACATTCTCATTTTCGCTACTTTTATCTTCTAAATATGAGAGATCTTGACTAGCCAAAGCTCCATCCCTTACAACATAGTCAGTCTAACAACCACTTCGTAAAACTTACCTTTAAGCTTTGGTGGCACATTCTTATTATACAAAATGCCTAGTGCGAGCCTTAATTTTATGCGCTCCGCTCTAATACAATGTGTGACATCATAATCAATCTCCTAATTACTTGGATTATAGACCCAATATACTTAGAAACTTTCTTCCTTAGGAGTGACTTGTGTATCCAGCCTCACTTTCACGTCTGTCTCCTGAGCCACGTTACTGAACTTGCACTTTAAGTATTCCATCTTAGTCCTACTCAACCTGAAATCTTTAGACTCCACTGTGTGCCTCTACACCTCCAACCTAGCGTTAAACCCGCATCGCGTCTTCTCAATCAATACTCTGTCATTTGCAAATAACATGTGTCAAGGTACTTCCCCTTTGATGTATCGTGTAAACTCATCCATCACTAAGGCAAATAAGAACAGGAGCTGATCCCTGGTAGAACCCATCATTAGAGGCGGAGCCAGGATTTTAAGCTTCTAGTCGTTTTAAGTTATTGGGTTCTAATTAATAATTTATACATATTCAATGGATTTTTTAAGACAAATATAGGGTTTGAACCAAAGCTATTGGTTCGACCGAACCCACTGGCGACGCTCTAAGTCCGCCCCTGCCCATCATGACGAGGAACTGTCTGGAGTACCCTGGGGTCTTGGCTCTATCATACATATCCTTAATTGCTTTGGCATATGTGACTCGAACACTTCACTCGTAGTTTGAAGCATCCTCGTAGCCATGAACAAAAAGTATGAGACCAAAGTGGGAAGTGACCAGGTTTTTTTTTGACATTTTGAGAAATTAGAGGGCACAAATTGATAAATTTTGCTCAGAAGGCTGACTCTGGTCAAAATAGATGGGCAGCAACCACTAACCACATAGTAAAAATCTGGAAAGAAGATAATATATTACTTTTAACTCAAATGGTCCCTTAAGTTTGAGGGATGTTAAAATAGTGGTTAAATTAGACTGTTATTAAACAGCTTGATCCAGAAGCTCGCAGTAAATGCACAACCGCCAGTGGTTTTGGGAGCTGCGGCTGGATTTAGCAGGTTATCGATCGGTTCAGTTCAGGCACAAAATTAGCAGGTTTGTTCCTCCTCCCTCTCCTGTTTTCATGTTTCTTTTTTCTTTGATTCGTAAATTTAATTCGTATTGAGGCTTAGAAATTGGTAGCAATATGATTAATTTTTTATTTTGAATATAGACCGAGATTAAGGGAAGTAGATGAGCCTGTTTCAGGCATTTATAACATGTTTAGCGAAGCTTCTCCAAGATCAAAAGCACTTTATTTGCTTTTTTTCAAAGTTGATGTGTTTGGCCAAACTTGTAGGGAGAAAAAAAAAAGTGCTTTCGAGTACCAGCAAAAGCCCATTTTCAGAAGCAGAAACACTTTTTTTAAAAAGCGCTTTTGAGAAAAAAATACACTTAAAAGCAGTTTCTAAAAGTTTAGCCAAACACTAATTGTTGTTCAAGAGTGCTTTTCAAATTTATTAGCCTAACACAAACTGTTTTTTCATCAAAAGTACTTTTTTTAAAAGCACCTTTAGAAAAGAACACTTTTCAACGTAAGGTGATTTTAGAAGCTTGGCCAAACAAGCTATTAATCTGCTAGAATTTGTACTTACTTATCCCAAATAGAACTAATTTGGCAATGTATCATGGGAAAATGTTTATTTGCGCCAAATGAGTTAAATCTATGTTTGTACTTGGGCATAAAAGTTGTTGAATTCCCATTATGTATTGAAATGACCTTTGATTTTCAATGAACCAGAAAATTCCGAACTTGTTGAACTCCTCTTATCCTTAAAATTTATGTTCCTACTTGTACATAAAAGTTATTGGATTCCCACTATGTATTAGAATGACCTTTCGAATTGTTTGGTTTAAGAAACAATTCGACGTGGAAATCACCCCATATAATCGGTATGCAGTGAGGTAATATAATTTTATCACTGCTTGTTATATCTCCAACATAGTGAGACAATCATTCTGCCAAAAGTCTGGGTTTAAATTCTGCATGGTCTTTTCTCAATCTTTTCTTGATATTTCAATTAATACATGTAAAGAGCGTGAAGGCACCCAAGGGTGTCATTTAATGGTCAATGAAGTGGGATGAAATTCATGGAAGGCTATGGTGCAAATTGCAGTTGAGGAAAAACACTAGGTGATTTTTCTCATCGGCCTAAGCCTTGGCAGGCAAAGTTACATGTTATATGTGCAGGTGGGAGGTAGCATATCCTTGGTGAAATAGTCGAGGCGGGTAAACTGTCCCAAACACCGCTGTTAACTAAAACAAATAGGTGTTGGTGACGAATGTGATTTTTGTTCGAGTAACACTCTAATTTACGTGTTCTCTGCATTTGAACATGTTGGCAAATGCCAATATATTCCTCACCCAGGAGAAGAGTTTGATTGTCATATGACACCTGCTAACATTTTTTTATCTTCTATCTGTAGTGTATATTATTCTTGTCAAACATACATAATGAAAGTCAAACTGGTGACATTTCAATCCAACTTGGATGGCACAGAGCTTATATCCTGATAAGTGCATTTGAAGATGCATATTTCAACTCGGGTTGGATGACATTTCATTCACACCCCTTCCACACTTTATCTTGTAGTAATTTGTTATTTGAAAACTTAATTAACACAGATTTAGGTTTATGTGCTTGTTACAATCTTCCTAAAAGGTCGCATGACTCTGCTTCCTTTTTTTGGGTCTCAAAAAATTGTTAAGTTTCAATAACCAGTATCTAACAAGTACTTCTGGTACTTATGCCTAGTGACATTTTAGGAATGCTAAATAACATTCAACTTCATTCTCTAATTTCCAGCCTTTATCCAATACCCTTTTTAGCCAAGCTTCCTTTGAAATTTGACCAACATCTAGTGAAATTTTCACCAGAAAGGTTCATTTGGAAAAATAGCAACTTGGGCAGTTTATATAGTCTGAATGCAAAGTAACCATATGGACTTGGGTGGTAAAGCAAATAGTATCCCTTAAGAAAAATTTTGGCGATATCAGTGTTTCTGAGAGCGCGAAGCGCAAAAAAGCGACAGGGGATCGCCTCGCTTCAAAAGCGAAGCGCACACTTCATTGAAGTGAAGCGCAATTGTGAAAATACATATAATACATAAAATAATTAATTTACAAACTGAAATACACATTAAAAAAATCAAATAAACTAATATATATATATATATATACACACACACACACACACACATATAAAATTAATCAAATAAACTGAAAATATAACATATATAAAATAATTAATTTTTTAAACTGAAATACACATTAAAAAATCAAATAAACTGAAAGATATAACACATATATTTAATAAGTAATTTTATAAACTAAAATACATATTAAAATTAAGAAGAATAAAAGGGAGGGAAAAAAGAAAGCCAACGCCTGCCCTAGCTGTGCAGAGCTGGAGGAGAAAAAGTGAAAAAGAGAAGAGAAGAAGAAGAAGGAAGAAAGAAGGAAAAAGAAAGAAAGAAATAAAGAGCAGAATCTGGAAGGGAACAAGAAGAAGAAAGAAAGAAGAAAGAAAGAAGAAAGAAAAAAATAAAAAGAAGAAAGGAGAAGAAACTTACCTGGAAACCCTAGTTTTGTCGATGAAGAAGAGAGAAGAGGTCTCTGTTTTGTCAAGCAATTACAGAAGCGAGGTTAGGGGTCTGTTTTGTATAATTTACAAACAGACCCAATCTTTTTTTTTTTTTAAAAAAGGGCCTAGCTGCGATTTTTTAAAAGAAGCGATCGCCTCGTCGCCTTGTCGCTTTTTTCACTGAAGCGTGCGCTTCACACGATCGCATCGCCTCAAGCAGTAAAAAGCGATACCATGTCGCTTCGCATCGCTTCGCGCTTAAAGCGACGAAGCGATCGCTTTTCCAAACACTGGGCGATATTCCATGCTTTTATCATTATTTATCAGTCTGATTAATATTGCATAATCTGCATAGCAGGCGCTACTACTTATAGTTGAAGGATTGTTCTACTCTCTAACGTGTGTGTGTGTGTTTGGGGGGAGGGGGGAGCGGGGAGCGGGGATCAACATTGGTAGCTTTTCCAGGGAGAGAAATTGTGTATTGAAATCAAGAAATTGTAGTACTTAGTATACATTATTCACCAAAATGGTTATGTCCAGATCTTGGCAATGAACATGAGCAAATTAAGAAAGACAATGCCAAACACAGGAGTTAGGCAATGTTGATGCTGACAATAAACTCCCCAACGGCAGAGTTTCATGAAACAAATCTGACAAGTAATTCCCGATATTATCAGGAGAAAATCTTACTAAGACCTCCAAATTCTTTTCCCCACTCAATACTATCATATAGTAATCATAGAAATCTCGATAAGCAGGTACTAGTTTTCTTGCTATTGACACTTTGATCTCGTCTCGTAGCTTTCCATCTGGAACCACCCAAGATTTTTGTTTCTGGTATGATTCGTCAAAAGCTGTGTTGAATTTTCTGAAATGTTCCTTTATTATATCAGGGGAAACTGATGGATCCAAACTTTCAGGCAGGCACAAAAACACCTTATTCCAAGCCACGTTTTCATAGTTTGTTGCATATAGTTTTACCTTTCTCTCAAGCTTTGATATCCAATCATCTCCTAGAAGACACTTGAGTACACTTTTACGAACCTTCTCGATAACGAATTGGAGATTGTTAGCTAGGAAAAGATAGGATAAAGCGATGTCATTATAAAGCTTAGCTTTGCTGTCAAGCTTGCAAAGGAGTACAAGGATGATCCAAGCAAGTCTAGCAGATACTGCTGAAGTTGGCGTCTCGTTGGCTGATGGACTGTCGAAGTAAGATTCAGGAAATGGCGATTGTGCTGCGGGGGCAGAGTCACAAATTATATCAGAGAGGACTCCGCTGTAGTTGGCCAGCGAACATACATAATCTAAAGCAGAATTGGTCAATGGATGAATCCCACCACCAGGAACTGGTGTTCTTAAGGAATTCTTCTGGATCGACGACTCAAAATCAGAGAGAGTTGTTTGGATTGAGGCCTTAAGTTTGTGAAGGATGGATAGGGCTTGCATTTTGACTGTTGAGATTGATTCATATGAAAAGATTGATTCAATCTCAGGCAAGAGTTCTGAGATTGTTTCATGCAAGTCCATTAAAAGGAAAATATTTTCAGGTGATTTCTTGGATTTTGCAATAACCTCTGGAAATCTAAACAGATTGATTCCACCTTCTTTTGCTATATCAGTGAAACATGTTTCTCTGATTGTGTTGGAGGTTGAGAACACATGATCACACAGAAACCTCTCTCCATAGAAGAATGTTTTCACTCCAACTTTCACTGCATTTATCCAGTGCTTGACTTGATGCTCAAGAGCATCTGAATTCTTCCCATTAATATGGGCCGAGCTACGTGATTCAATCCCAAGACGATAGAGGCCTTCGTCCACGATTGACTTTCTGAAAATTTTGTAGATCTTCACACACTCTTTGGCATAACCGGAACCAACCATACAATCTGCAATCAGGTTGAGATCAGACATAGCTAGAACAGAAAGCCGTTCAACCTCGGATATGGATTCAACAGCTGCCTGAATATCATTTTCAGAGCCAGTTTCATCTTCTTGTGAATCAACTGAAATTGATTGTGATAAGTGTGAGGACTGACTAGACTTAGATACTGATTCTGGATCTAAATGCTCCTTGTTTGTTGACAAAATTTGATAGAATTCTTTCTCAAGTCTTTTCATGGCTGTTTGCATCAAGTTATGTGCTAGCACAAGCTTGTTAGAAGTTGAATGCTCCATAACAAGAAAGTGCATAGCTCTTTTTAAGTCTTTGACACATTGAATGAATTCTTTGGCTTCTTTTCTGTCTTCTTGAAAAAGTGAAATGAATTTCTCAAAGGAGGATTCTTTGGGATCCCATTTTTTGATAATGGTCTCAGCGTTATCGATGTTTTCCTCCATGATTGATTGGGATAGTGTGTGTGAAGGTGTTGGAGGAGGTAAATGACTTGAATAGTTAGAAAGGGATGAATTTGTTTTGGAGAAAGAGAAGAGGCTTTTCTTGGCTCGCCTTGGCGTCGATGGTGATGATGCTTCTCTTTTAGAGTTGTCAAGAATTGCCATTTTTGATGAATTTTACAGAATGTAGCAAAGAGAGGGATGTGAATATTTGAGCTATGAATAACAGTTATGTTAAAAGTGTGTTTAAATAGGAAAGGGAGGAGCTGCAGTTCCTAATTGAGCAGAGGTGAAAGTTGACTTTGTGCACTCATTGGACTTGAAAAAGACTATGAATTTCTTGAAACTTATGAGGTAAAAGAGGGCCATAGCTGAATTTGTTGACAATTGCATATATTTAGGAGATGTATTTAGTTTTTGTTTGAACTGAGATTGTGTTGACAAAACTCCACCAAAAATATTAAAATAAATGTCAGACCTTTGAGATGAGGGATGTGTTGGCATTGGTTTGACTGGTCATCCCAATATATGGTTACAAACCAACTCTATAGTCTATGGTCATCCCAATATATGGTTACAAACCAACTCTGTAGTCTATGGTCATCCCAATATATGGTTATGTACAAACCAATTTTCCAAAAAAGAAGAAGAAAAGACTAATTATGTAGTCTATGATCCATCTTAAAATAGAATAAAGAGAAGGCAACTTGAGGCACAAAGCTTTCAGTATGTGCAAGGTTTGGGGAAGGATTAAATCATATTATATATTTTACGTAGTCTTACCTTGTATTTTTGCCCCAAAAAAAAAAAATTTCCATTAGCTTGAAAAGGTCACTAGTGGCAACTCTTAATATTGCGCCAAGGCTCTCTTTTCCCACCATTTATTTATAATGTCTCTTAATATTGCGCCAAGGTTCTCTTTTTCCACCATTTGTTTATAATGTCTAAGTAGTTTGGTTAGGCCAAGAGTGATTAGTTCTACTTACTCCATATGTGATTCGAACGCTCGTTTGGCTGAAGTGAATGGCACTTTACCACTAAAGGAAAGATCATTTATTTTTATTAAGATAAAGATATCTAAATCTAAAAAGGCAGAATAGCCTGCTAGACACTTGTATTTGTTGCCATTTGTCATCCCGGTCCCTATATTCAACGAAGTTTCATCTAGGCACTTATATTTGTTCAAAAGCAATATTTTAAACCCCTCTAACGCTGCGTGACTCTCAATCGCATGATGCTAGAATTCACGTCAGATAAAATTATGCTANTTTTACATGAAAAAGAAATAACCTTCTCTCTTTCTTCTTTTTTTTTTTTAACTTTTTGTTTTTTTCCTCTTTCTTCTTCACCATCCACTTCTCCTAATGCTATCACTGTCATCACTGCCATCATGTGAAAATTTCTTGGCCAGCAAAAAACACTATGAACACACTTTGATTCTCAAGTACTTTATTCTACCTCTACCTAAATACTTTATCTTCACCCTTTTTTTTCCTTTTCAAAACCCACCTTGCCAACCATAGTAGCAACCCAACTCCGTCACTTTTTTTGCCATTTTCATCTATCTTTATTCCTTCTTTCATCACTTCCCATCCATTCTTAGTATTAACCTCCATCATATTTAATTTTATCCATACAAGTATAATGAAAAACAAAAATGTCTATCAATCAAATTAAAGATTTTGTATTGAAAACAAACATTCTCAAAGCAAACAAACAATGACAAATAGATAATTACCTAGATCATGCAACGAAGTCAGATCTATCAAAAATATTTAAAAAAAGAAAAAAAAAAAGAAATTGGGCCAGGGCAGGGGCAGGGGCAGGAGCTGGGGTTGGGGAAGAATAAGAAGGGAAGAAAAAGAAATAGGGTAGGAATCAGGAGAAGAACGAAAAGGGGAGAGGGATAAAGAAAAAAAAGGGAGGGTTGGGGTGAAAACGAGAAGAAACGTGGAGTAGTATATTTTTTGTTTTTAATTTCTTTTTTCTTTTTCTTATTTTAATCATTTTTAAACTAAATTTATTATATTCACGCTCCTTATACGCGTGAAATATACGCATCCTGTACAACTCAGCCATCAAGTTGCCACATATGATCGGTCAATGGTCAGAGGGGTTTAAAATATCGACTTTGAACAATTATAAGTGTCTGGATGAAACTTCATTGAATATAGGGACCGAGATGACAAATGCGAACAAGTAAAAGTGTCTACTAGGCTATTCTGCCAATCTAAAAATAAATACATTTAATGGTCTAATGTCTTAATCTTTCAGAATATGACTTCTAGGGTCTAAATCATCTTCAATCATCACGTACCTACTGCAGAGGCGAAGGTACATACCTTCTTTGAGAAATTGCACTATATATAGGTAAAATATTAGATTTTAATGGTATATAACATATATTGAACACTCTTTATTGGGGATTTTTTTTACTTATTTCAAGTTTGAACATCCTAAATAAAATTCATAGCTTCGCCACTGACCTACCGCCTACAGACTACTAAAACGAGGAGCAGAGTATAATAACAACAATAACAATATATTTAGTGTAATTTTAAAGTGGGGTCTAAGGAGCGCAATGTATACACAATCTTTTTCCAACCTCGTACAAGTAGAGAGGTTGTTTCCGATATCGACTTAAAGCAAACATACATAATCACAACAGAGGATTGTAATTTACAAGCATTTAGTCTATTTCCTTTTCCTTTTTCTTCATAATTTTTTTTTTGTTAAAGTCCTAACTTCACAAATTAAAAAGAAAATATGAAATACCCCAGTTTATTTTTTTTTTTTGTGTATTCTTGTTTTCAGAGATGATGTAACAACTAGGAATATTTAATATCTTATATTAGTTTGACAAAGTAAACAACTTGGAAGGTGTTGAAGGAGTTCGCAGAATTATTTTTTGTTTTTTTCAGTTGGGACCATTTCATTACGGCGTAAATATATTATTATTATTCAGTGAAAAATATTTGTCTTCTGGAAAATAGGCTGGTCTTTCTCCTTATTTTCAGTCTCCATCGTGTTATTGTTTTCTTAAAAAGCATATTCATGTTTGAATGGATAAGTTGACTAATCAGTTTATATGAAGTACAAGTGCAACTTTAACGATCAAACGACTTTCAGTTCATAAAAATGACTTCCAGTGGGTAATTACAGTCAAATTGCTCCTTCTAGTAGAGGTGAATTTTGCTAGCCAATAATTTCAAATGTTGAATTTTCTTTTTCCCATGAAAAGGTTATTTCATGGGACGTGTATGTAATACAGTAGAATTTAACAAGTTCATTTTCTTTCCCATTACAGTAATGAGTGGGTAATCTCAGAATTGCTTGGTTTTTATGTTTGAGCGATAATACCTTACTCGTGCATTCGTAACCTTAAGATTAATTAAGTATAACATTTCTCATGATTTTAATGTTAAGCATCAGTTCAGGGATTTTTTTTTTCGAGAGGGAATTTTTTTTGTATTTGTGCAAATGTTTGCGTGCATTAATTTATATCAGACGAAGCAACTAGATGTCCAACTCGGGCCTATATGACATAACCGATCAACAGATCCACTTGATTATGTGTAAGGATGTCTACGTCAACTAGGTTGAACAAACTAATTCGTGTTATTTATTAAGTAAAAATGGCAACGAGTTAGTTCACTAAGTAGCTCACATCTAATCCCTATTATTGCTGTAATATAATAGGTATGTTAGACTAAATGTTTTTTGACCAATTCAGATAATGTTTGAATAATATTAGGCTAAAAGAAAATCTTAGGTGAGGGTAGCACGTATAATGCAGAATCAGTTGACTGCATATCTGTCATAATCTCAGATCTCACAACCTTCTTTTCTTGTCCTTGAGAAAGAAAGATAACACGTTTATGGTACTTAAAAAGTTTTTTTTCTCATTAGTGGGATCAAGTCTACGAAGCCATGACAAACGATTTGGTGTGTTGAAGCTTTTGCACTGTGTATAAACCGATATTCACAAGATATTCAATCTCAAATTGGTATATTATCCCTCATTTCCTATTGATCAACGAGGCACTTAATTACTTGAGAAAAAAAAAAAGGCACGATCATATAGCACAATAAACAATTTTTCCAACAATAACATCACAGCAGAATCACTTCAACCCATGTTGCTTCACAGATCGGAGATTGGACAAATGATTATTTTTTCATCAACTGAGAAACCTCAAGTACTAGTTGGGGCACAGTTAAAAACTTAACAAATAATGGACTCACCGCTCTACTCTTCAACATTTAAGCGTTCTGTCTACGACAAATTCTAACTCGTGACATGCATTTAACCCACGCATCAAAACTCTTAAAGGACAAAATGCAAACGCGGGCAGGTGCATACCAACTTGTGGGCCATTAAGTATCAACCATCACACGAATTCTATTCAAGATGAGGGTGAGAGTTTAGGATTTACGGTTTAGTAATCAAGCAATCATTTGTCCAATTAGTGTGAATAAGCTTTAAAACACTTTAGATCAAAGATAACAGGGTGCTCAACATAAAATAGGAATAAACTTGAAACTTGGAACAAATGAAGCTCCATATCAGTCATGTGTCTAATGTCATAAGCGCCAAACGAAACAAGGCTAAACAAAATTTGCATGCTCAATAGTTTTCACCAATATATTCTGATTCAAAACACAAAATGCTCTGCCGAAGTAGATCCTATCCTACACCTTGATGGCATACTTTCGGATGGGGAAGTACATCTCCTTCTTCTTCTCTCTCTCCGTCTTCAACGACATCTGCAAGGACAGAACACAAGTTAACACCATTAGTTGTTAAAAGAAATTGCTGACAAGATTGAAGAAAACTGCAACATCATTTAACATCAAAAACCCCTTACATTAAATGAGTTAGAAAAAACCTCTGGTAATCCGCATTTATAAGCAACTCCAAAACATCTATAGTTAGAAATGTTTGAAAATGTTTTAAGGAAAAGTAGCAAAGAAAAATTGCTTAACTGGCCAACTAGCAATAGTGTCATTCTTTTTGGAATAGAAGAGAGTAGTATTTAAAACCAAGAGTAGCATATTGCATTGCCAAATTAGGAACCCACAAGCTCACTAGTGCAAAGTGCATAAACACCAAATGTAGGATAAAATCAAGGATACCTGGTGCTTGGTCAAACGTTTGCGGATGGCCCTAGTTTTCTTAGCGCGCAGGTCAAGAGGCAGGTATTTCTTGTTCTTGTAAGCTTCCCGAAGAGCAGTTTTTTGCTTCTGCGAAATTACAGTCAGAACCTGTGCGATCGACAACCTTACCACCTTGCTGCATCCACACAATCATTAAGATAATCAAGTCAACGTCAAAAGTATAAACAAAGTCATACAACACATAACAACTGACACATTTGCATTTGACTTTTCAAGATTCATTCTATCGCTTGGTCACCAAACTAAGAAAGACACCTCCAACTAAGGTTTTCTTGAGTGCTGTGAGAATAATCACCAATACGGGCAATGCTAAGTCTTACTCGTATATGAGCAAGACAACTCTTCCATATCACAAGCCATTAATAGCATACTAATTGCTTCACTTTTGTATTGGAAAGTTGCTAGTAATGCCTTCCGGGCCCTTATATTTCTTCTTTTATCATAGATTCTACTAAGGCACCTCCAACGAAGTTTTCCTTGGGTGCCGTGACAATAAATACCGCTACTTAGTCTCAGTCCGATATGAAGAAGACAAGCTTCCCTTATTGCAAGCCATTAATAGCATACTAATTGCTTCACACTTGTATTAGTAGGTTTTAGTGACACATACATAACATAGTTCTTGAAAAGTAATCATAAATAAATAATTTTTTGAATCAAATGATATAGAACAATATCACTAGCAAAATAGTGGATAGTGTAATGTATTGCAACAGATCCTAAACAGAAAGTGTCATATAAAGGTCGACATAAGACATTAATGCACAAGAAGTTAATATAAAATGCATGCTTATGAAATAACATACACACATCTCAAGCAAAATCCAATAAAGCACATAAAAAAAGAAAGACAGAGTGCATACATTTTGGAGAGCTTGTTAGGAGCACCACCAGTGACCTTAGCGACACGAAGTAGGGCAAGCTCGGCCTTCAGATCCTTCAACTGAGCCAGTAGCTCGGTCTTTGTCTTGTTCCTCAGCTCATGAACCTTGATTCTTGCTGCATTTTCACCAATCACATAATCAACCAAAGTGATATCAGCCTTATGAATAAAATCAATCAATCAATCAACTATGCGTCAATTCCAAATCAATTAAAATATCGACTATATGAATCCTAGGTATAAATTTCGTCCTATTCATATTCATCAAAGTTAAACTATTTTTATACGTAAACATCACACAAAATCAACCAAACAATCAATTATACCTCAATTGCGAACTATTATGATATACTATATGAATCATCTGACGCTCAATTTATCGTTGAAGATATCATAGTTAGAATATTATTATGTGTAAGAAATCACTAAAATTTGGAGAAAAATTATCAGAAAACATTGGAAATGGATTCAAATTGTGAATTTAGAGTAGATTGAGTATACGCACCCATTGCTGCTACTGGAAGCTGTTTTTGGTGCAGAGGCTGCTCCTAGATTCTGAAACCCTACTTGGAAAACGGAGGGAATTAGGGATTTATTATATACTGGGCTCTTACTTAGGTTCTCTTTTGGGCTGGACTTGCCTAATCGGGCTATAGTACTAGCCCATTTAGTTCAGTTTTGGGGTTAGCCCATTCTTAGCACAGCCCTGTTGTCGCGCGAATTGCACAAATAGCCATTTTAGGATCCTATTATTTAATGAATAGTCTAAATTTATAAAATTTTAAATTTAAGCCACTTATTCAATCATACGAATATTACGTTGAAAATTAACGTGGGATCTGAAGCTGGAATCCGTCAAAGCTTAACTTAAATGAAGTTCAAATTCAGACCTTAGTCTTCTCTCTTACAATTAATTGTCATGTGGGTAGGCAGTGGAGATATTGCCCATTTGCCCATAGAAAGGTTATAAAAAAGGGAATCTTATAAAAATGTCCAAAATAAGTTTAAATTTATCAACCTCTAACCATTAATATATACTTACCAAAATTAGCCTAGCGCATACAGAAATTAAAAACCTAGATAAATAAGGACCTTCCATATTTTTAACCGTGATCAGCAACATTAGATGCAACACATGGAGGAATTTTATGGATGAAGTAGCAAAGACGAAACACAAAGAAGAACAAAATACAAGACTATAAAATCCTAAGCAAAAGGGGACATTTTTCAATAGATGTGGTTGAAATTCATTGAAAACATATAGATAAGTCAATATAAAAATTTTGAGGGAGATTGGAGGTGATTTGGACTAGTTTTGAGTAAATATTTGTAGCTAAAATCGAGTTTAAAACTTTCTCTACGACATATGAATCAAATATGTATCTCACATAGAGGTATACATGAATATATAAAAGATCACAAGAGATACATATTTGTACAAAAGTGATACACAAAAGATACACAGTGAGATATACATTCATCTTCTTCCATATTCATCTTGGGTAAAAACTTACCCGCACCGGGTGTTTACACCAAACCAATAGATACATGATATGTGTCTTGAATATGGACTTCAATCATTTAACCATGGTAGATTATATGCATTCTCATCTAATTAAATTAATTAACCATGGTAAGTATTTACCTTCATCTTGTGTACTTCAAATTTCGCTCAAATTTCAATCCAACCCACCTAAAATCTCCACCAAATTGTCCAAAAATTGAGATTCACACTCCTATGTACCCAATCTATTCCAACAATACGCACTTGAAATAAATTCCAATTTCAAAAATCCAAATTTTTGAATTCAAGCTTAAACAAGCTTCAATGGATGTCCATGACGTTTTCAGTTTATTCCTTCAACCCAATCCAACAAACTAACGTTTAATAGTGATTTCTAAATCGTATTAAGATGTTCGATTCTCTGAAAGTCACTTTAGCTTATTGTATGCTTTAAAAACTGACATTAATTGAAATTGTTCGGATTAAAACAGCATTTGGGCCTTTTTGATAAATATTTTATTTTTAGGCTAGTTTTAGTTGAAATTGTTTATGCAGTGATAGTTTGAGTAGTTTTTCCTATAAAAAAATTTCTAAAGTTTTTTGGAAAGTTTTTAAAAAACTTTTCAAAAGTTTTATCTGTAAGATATACATTTGTTTTATTAAATAAATGTTTCAACCATCCTTGTTTCCCTCGTTCATAGTTAAACGAAAATCAGGAATTAATTAACTTATACCATGTAAAAATCAAATTACTATAATTTATTCTTTTCGTTCACTTTTACTTGTTCATTATATTAAAAATATTTTTTATTTTTAGTTGTCCAGTATACTAAGTCAAGAGAAAAAAAAAATATTTTTTTCATGTTTTACCCTTATTATTAACTACTCATTCTCTAAATTATTTCCCAAGACTTTTTATCATTATTATGAATAAAGTTATAAAATATATACTTTACTTATTTTTTCTTAAAAAAAAGTACAAAGTTAAAAATGAACAAAAATGAAAAGAGGGAGTATAAGATTTGGGAACAATTGAATCGATATTGTATTGGTGTCAGACGAGGTTCTTTTTTCCATAAAGTAAAAATATTGGTTCCTAGAAAGGTGCCAATTTTTAGATAACATTATAAAGATAACCTAATAATCGTTCCCTACGAGATACGCTTTTTGCTCATTTTAATTACGGAAAAGGGCTATATGAATCTCTGTACTATTAGTTATAAGTACCCGTCGTTATATTATTCGATGCTTTCTACCTCTGACATTATCCATTTAAATATATTTACCCCTCCATTTAATGGTCCCATTCCAGATGGACACGTGGCGGCATTTTTAAATACCCTAACCCATTTTCCTCACTTATACCCAAACCCACCCAAAAAATTGAACCGATTCAACCCCATATCCGAAATACGTGTAAGTAAATGAATCCTTCACCCACCAAAGGCACTCCAACTCAGAGATACCCAAAATACCATAAAATAACCTACTCACCACTACAAAGATCATCGTCTTCCACCAAGAACCACCATGAAATAACCTTCTACTTTCTAATCACTTATAACTCCTTCAGCAGAAGCCGGTGCTCACTAATTTCTCATTAAATCATGAATTCCACACAAAAATTGAAACCAATTTTTCAATTTCAGTTCATCAGTGACAAAATCTCATCACAACCCCAATTCCGAAACTGCACTTGCTGAAATGGACGTCGATTGAGGAACGTAAGGTGGTCGCTCAAGTTTTTCCGAGTTAATGGGTCGAATCAAGGCTTGAACGGGCGGCTCCACCATCATATTCAACTTCCATAGCTCTCGTTGGTCAAAATTTTATCCTTGATTCTCATAGAGATGGCACCCCATTCTTTCTTTATTTACTTCGCACTTTTCTTTATGATGTGATTTCTTCTATAGTGTTTGTGTATTGGTCTAAATTTGGCGACTAGACAGTAAGGGATAAGTGAGATCAAGGACGGGGTCGACCGCGGTGTAATAACTAAAGGCTGCTCTCGAGAGGGCTGATGAGAAAGACGGGCAGTTGAGATGAAGAAATAACAATAGCATATGTTAAGATACGGATACAATGAATATTCCTTTGGATATTCCTTAATTTGTACTTTTTAGGATTTTTGGGAAATATCCTCTATGAATAGGAGGATATAGAGAACAAAAAGGGTGATCTTCACGTTATGAGAAAAACACATTGTAAAAGGTTGACCTGAGAGAATATACAACAGTTGTCTTGTTCATTGATTATCCTATTCAAGCATACGTTTTTACTTCTTTATTCACAAGATCCAAAGATCCCTCAACCCTCTTTATTTCTCTCTTCTCCACGTTGCTATCAGAGAAAAAAATCGTCCAAGTCTTACAATAATTGGGTGGTAGATTCCTTTTTGTTATATTTATTGTCATCATCTACATTTATTGCACATTTATGTTATTGCATTTACGAGCATTTAATCAGTACAAACACACTGATTAACGTTTATCTTAACCAGCTTTGCATAATATTTGGTCTAGATTTTATCATTCTTAACTAAGATCCACCCTTCATTTTATCATTAATTGATTTAACTAAAAGGTTCAACACTTTTTGGTCAAACAATTTGGCACCGTCTGCGGAGAGCTTTTAGTTAAAATTTTAGTCTATTCTAGATAAAAAAAGGGGGGGG